AGCAACACTTGTGCCATCCACTGAGACAGGAAATACTGGAAGAGGACCAGGATTGGGAAGAAAGATTATCATTTGGTTTTAGACATGCTGCATTGAGACATGCTGACATGTCTCAAGAAGAAATGGTGAAGCAGGCAGTTGGATATGACCGGATATGGATATCCAGCAGTATTCAGTAGAGCTTTCTGTGACGAGGGAAGTATTCTATATCTATACTGTCTAATATTTTAAACACTACCCACATGTGGCTGTTTAAATGTAAATTAATTAAAATTAAAAAATTTAGTTTCTCAGTTGCTCTACCCACATTTCAAGCGCTCAGTAGCTGTATGTGACTAGTGACTTTTGCATTGGACAGTGCAGTTCTAGAGCTTAGAGAAGCAGTTTGGGTTGGAGACATAACACATTGAGACATGCGTACATGAGATTTAAGATGGTAGATAACACTGTCTAGGGAATTAAGAAGGAACAGGACTGAGGTTCAAAAAAAGAAAAGACTGTCCAGAGAAGAGGGGAGTCAGTGAAAAGAGGAAAATGGCAAGGACTCAGACTCAAGGACCTTCAACTTGTAAAGGCTGGTAAAGAAGAATGAGCCTTTAAAGGACACAGAGAAGAAGCAATCTGAGAGGTAGGAGGAAAACCACAAAACCTTAAGAGCTTTGTCATAAAAGTCAAGGGAAAAGAGTGTTTTGAGGGGGAGGAATGAGCAACAGCTAAGTGCCGCTGGAAGGTCAAGAGAGATGAAGCCTGAAAATGTTTATTACATCAGGGAAACAGAGGTCACTGGTGACTTTGGCAAGAGCTATTTCAGAGGAGGGCTGAAGCTGCCAGGCAGATGAGGTGAGTGAGAAGAGGTGAGGTGAAGGAGAGAACTGACAACACAAGATAAATCACGAGCTCCTTGTTCCAGGAGTTACCAATAAAGCAGAGAATTGCTTAAATCAAATCAAGGTGGAGTCAATATCATAGATATCTTCAAGGCACTGAATTTACCCTATGAAGTTACCAATTTTGAATGTTTTGTCATAAATATGAAGAAGTACACATTTACTGGTGCTCCCTTCCTATCCTAACTACCTTGGAGAGTTGGTATGAGCTAGACCAAACAAGGGCTAGGAGGCCATGTCAATAAGTATTTTTTATCCTAACAATTAAAAGCAACAGAAGGCTTTTCTTTTTTTCCTTCTTTTAAAAAAGATTTTTATTATCTAAAATTAGAGCATGCACAAGAGGAGAGAAAAGTATACCCCATTACTTCCATGTGTACTATTCATCACCTGGCTCCAGTACCATTCGACTTTTAGTCCTGCCCCATCCATACCCTCATCCACTGAGGCTGAACAGTTTTAAGCATGGGCGCAACATGATTACACTTGTGTTAAAAAGATCATTTTTTGCTGCTGGGTAGAGCAAGAGACAGCAAACTTCCAGATAGTAAATATTTTAGGCTCTGCCAGCCAGACAGCCTCTATGGTAACTACTTAGCTCCGTTGTCGTAGCTTGAAAGCAGCCCTAGACAATATGTAAGAAAATAAATAAGTGTGGCTGTATCCCAATAAGACCTTATTTATGGACACTGAAATTTGAATTTCATATAATTTTCATGTGCCACAAAATATTCTTCTTTTGATTTTTTCCCCCCTTATGATTTAAAAATGTATTATTTTTGCTCACAGGCAATACGAACACAGGCGGGAGGGCCCAATTTGGCCTGTAGTTTGCCAACACCTAGGGTAGAGAATGAATTGGAGCGAGCAAGAGGAGAAGCAGGAAGACCTGCCCGAGGATACTGCAGGAGTCAGGAGCAAAACCTCATATTCCTGTACCTAGCAACAAGATAAGAGAGCATGGTAAGTATTTATTAAGTTCTGTACCATCAATTCCACATTTGTTGAGTAGCTCCCGTGTCCTAGGCACAATGTTAGGGCTGAAGATACACAAATAAATGAATGAGAAATAGTTTTTGCCATTGAATCTAGTTGGGGAGACAAATATGTTTTTCTCTATGTTATGTATCACAACATGGTATTATGGAATATAGATGAAGTATTGATTAGTTCTGCTTGAGAAACATCAAACACGACTTTAAGAATGACATTTAGGTAGGACTTGAAAGATGAGTAGAAGTTTGCCTTATAGGGAAAGGGGGAAGGTTTTTAAGGCAGAAGGAAAAGCATGAATAGACGCAAAGGGTCTTGAAACACAAGCTTCTGCCCTATGTCTTTCTTTTGGATTACTGCTAACTTGAGGGGAATCAAGGAGAAATCTGAATAAATTTGTAGGCTAGAAACCTGTAAAGGGGGGGTGGGGAATTAAAAAAAAAGAAATCTGTAAAAACGGAGTATCTCAGGTTTCAAGAGAGAGGATAAGTGGTGGAACATTAAATGGTCCTACATGATCCAGGCACTGGCTAAGTCTTCTACCTCTCTTTCCACTTCTCTCCTTGTTCACCCATGCACCAGTCTTTTTGCTCTTCCTTTGAGATGCCAAGCACCCGACGGCCTCAGGCCCTTGACCCTTGCTCTTCCCACTGCCAACAGTCTGATTCCCTGCCTCCCTTCCTTCATTTCTTAGAGCCCTCCTCTCACCACCCTATCTGAAACAGACACTACTCTCTTAGGCTAACCTAATTGCTTTTTTTTTCCCCATAGCATTTATTATTACCTCTTTCATTTGTTTGTTGTCTGCACCCTCCCCCTCCCCCAAATGTAAGTTTCATGAAAACAGGGTCTTTGCTTTGTTGCGTCTAAAAGTCTAGAACAGTGCCTGACAAAATAGCTGCACCAGAGTATTAATACAAAAGATCAACAAAAGGAGTGAGAGGAGGGCAGGGAAGGGCACATGATGGGTTGGAGGTGGAGGGAATGATATTGCAGGAGTGCAAGCCCAAGAGCCTCTATGTCATTGGCCAAGTAAGATGGGAGTTCATCTTATGAGAGGTGAGAGGGATTGAAGGTTTGGAACATCTATGGGGAATGTGAAAGAGCACTTGGGAAGGAAGTTGGGAACATAAACATTTGAACTCAAGCCAAACAGATAATTAGTTGTACTGTGCCTAGGGGTGGGGTGACGTCTAGAAGAAAAGACAGGACCGTCCCACTCAGGATGTGGTAACGTGACTTATCTTTCTTGGAAGTGAATACAGAATTACAGGGTGGGGAGAACGAGGTAGAGGCTCTTGAAAGAATAAGCAGGTGAGAGTGGCAGTAATGAAAAAGTAAAACTTGGAAGGGAGCAAACAACCCATTTCAGAGCCACATGTGAGTGGTACAGAATTTGAAGGAATGAAAACAAAGCACAGACAAGGTTCCTTTGCTTTCATGTTTCTGTGCTTAAAAAAAGGCTCTCAACATTGACATACCTGCTATTTGGCAGCTGGCAGCTGGCAACTCTCGATTGGCTAGCAGTGAGTTTCAGGACAAATTGCCAACTGCTGTCCCCTTTCCCTCCCTTCCCTTGGGCAGGGCACTCGGGACAAAAGACAGTAAAGAAATAAAACTGGACCATTTATCCCAGTTCTTCTCTCCTTGCTTCCATTTCCATGGCAATCATTAATAAGCCTGGGCTGCCAATAAAACTGTCAGTTTTCATGTCCACTGAAATTTAGTTTTGTCCATTAATATATCCCCAGTACCTTGAAGAAAACCCATCACATGGTAGGTATTTGATAAATATTTACTGAACGAAGGGATGAATTTCCTTTACTTAACTCAGGATAGTCCTCTTAAAATAATTAGAATTTAAACCAGACTTTTTTGGGAATGTTAAGTTCTAATTGAATTAGCCATAATTTAATATTTCCAGATGCAGTAGCTGGGATAGTGCAATGGGAGTTTGATGGAGATTCTCGTAAGGGTTATGTTGGGCTAAGAAAGAATTGTCTGTTCTTGAAGCTAGATTAACCCAGGGGCTTTACTCCACTTAACTTTGTAGAATCATGTGTAAAGACAGAGGGAAAAAGGGATTCTGAGTGAGCTTGCACGGATACTTTGCTAGGAATGAAGTTTCCTGGAGTTAGGGTTCCTGGAGTTTTTGTCTCCCTGGAAGGTGGAAGAAGGAGCCTGAACGCGCTCTGAAACCTCCCTCGGCCTCAGCTTCCCCCCTGCAAAAGGATCGCGTGTCACAGGCCGTCTGTGGCGCGTTCCGAGCCCTCTCCAGAGGTGAAATCCCGGAGCTGAGAAGCGCCTCAGAATGCTGCCTGACGCGTTTTTAGGCCTCTTCTTTGGGGGTTTTATTTATTTATTTTTATTGTGGTAAAACATACATAACGTAAAGCCACTTTATCTGATGTGAAATGTACGTTTTTTAACATTATAGCAAGTAACATATGCATTTTAGATTAGAATCTAGGACAACGGCAAATGAGATGAAAGGCGAAGAAGTCGAGCGCTCCTTTACCGGGAACTTTCGGAATGTGCCGCGGGCCGAAGCGACACAGGAATCTCCATTTTGTCGGGACTGGGCCGGTCCTCGCCGTCTCCAGGGAGTCGGGTCCCCTCGGCCCCGGCCTCCCCCGAGCGTTCGCCAGCCCGGCGGCCCGGCCGAGGGGGACACCGGGCCAGGCGCCGAACCTCGGGCCCGCGGTTCTGAAGGCAAAGGGTCCGACCCCCTCGCACGGATCGGAACCGCAGAGGAGGGGATGGCGGCAGCCCGAGCACTCGCTCGGCGCCTTCCATTATCTGTGTGTTTTCCCGAGGCGCCGCCTCCCGGCTCCCCGGCCCCGCTAGGAGGCGCGCGCTCGAGTCGCTCCGCCGCGCGCTCCCGACAGCACTCAGGTCCCGAGGCGAAGAAAGAAACGCCGCCCGGCCCCCGCCGCCACGCCTCCCGGCCGGGGACCCGCGCAGGCGCGCGCAACTCCCGTCCCTGCGGCCTCCCCTCCCCCAGGCCGCCGGGCGCGCCGCGGGCGGGGTCGGCGTGGGGGCGGAGCCGGCGCGGGCTCGGAAGGGCCCCGGCCCGGCGATTAGTTGGTTTCGGAGCGGAGGAGGGAGCCCGGGCCGTCGCGGGCGCAGAAAAGACAAAGCCGCGTCCGGGGGCCCGGCCGAGGGGTGGGCCCGGGGCTCAGTGGCGCCCGCGGACCCGCGTGCCGCCGCCTCGCAACAGGTCCGCCGCTCGCGCTCCACTCCCCTCCCCCGGGGGCGCCTCCGCTCGGCCGGGGCCGCGGTTCGGCCACCCGCTTCGATGCGGTTCGGGTCCAAAATGATGCCGGTAAGGGGGGCGGGCGGCCGGGGCGTCAGGCCTGGAAGTGTGCGGGATCGCGGGCTGGGGCGGTCGGTGCCGTCGTGCGGGTCGGGAAAGGAAATCCCGGGCTTGAGCCCGCGCCGGGAGGGGCTGGTGCGTCCAGAACCTCGGGCGGGTTTCGGGAGGGCCGAGGTTCAGTCCTCAGGGCTCCCCGCCCATCTTCGGCGAGAGGGCGCGGCCAGACCCTCCCCGCAAGGAGGGGCGGCCGCTGTGGGACAGCCGCCCCAACTTTTCCCCTCAGTGCTTGAAGGTCAGGAACTGGGAAACTGGGAACCTTGCTCTTGGCTTTGTCTTTTTATTTTTTTTTTAAACAACTTTTTACTGGAACGAAACATAACATACTTAAAAGGGTACCTTTGCTTTCTTTTTAATTGGATTTTGATCTTGATAGCTACAGTAGCAGCCAAATCTCTCTGTGAAAACTGCTTTTAGTAAACGCAACCTCGGAAGTTTTAGATCGCAGGAAAACGTGTGTGCCTGGCTCGCTCCGTCCCCACAGCTGGTTTAACGACCTCTGGAGAGGATGAGTTAGTTCTTTGGGACTCCGCAGGCTTTTGACGTGGCCACCAGGCCACAGGTGAATAGCAGGTTTGAGACATTTCTGAAAATGTCTCTCTCCTTCAGCGGTCGTAGAATCCGGAGCGATGCGGTGGCTTCTGCAGACTTCAGCAGCCAGTTTCCTTGTGGAACTTGTTCTTGCGCCTCTCCCACTGGAGCGGGTTCGTCTTGCAGCCATCCAGTGTTTTCTCTTATGGCCTCATTTGTTCAAACAAAGAGACAAACAACTTTATTTTTATTTTATAAAATCTGTGGAATGGAGTGATGACAAAATTGATTTGCATTTCACACATGCCAAGTATACCCCTGTCCGCTGACCCCCCTCCTTGTGTCATGGAGGGTGTCCCAAACTGTCACATACTAGGGGCAAAGTTGACAATTTACTAGAACTGGTAATTGGGTTTAGATGGTTCGGGATATTTTGTCGTGCCAGAATTGAAGAAATTTGGAAGAGTTAATAGCATTATGCATCTCAGTTTAATACCAGGTTATGAAGTCAGGTTTGTGATGTGAACGCCAATGTTAAAATGTGTACCATGGATAAGGGTGACGGATTCTGCTGTTAAGATTTTTATTTCTTGGGTTTACATTTCTTTGTGTTGAAATAACTTTTGCAGGTTGTCTGTGAATGTTTCCTAATAATGAAAGCAAGAGAACAGGTGTTGGTTGTTGCTATATGGTTTCTTCTTTAAAGATCAGTTTTATGTCAAGGTATCCTTTGGTGTTTCTTTCAAACGTAGGGAGGTTCATTCTCCCAACTGCATACCAGATCATCAGAATTCATAAAAAGTTATGTGGCTCTTGTGACTAAATTTGGTTTAGCAATATGGTTCTTCTGATTGCCTTACTCATCTCAGGATAGAATCTTACCACAAGACTGGTGTGGTGGCATGTACGCCAGCTTTGTACTCAGACCGATGCTTCAGTGTTTGCTCAGCTGCTACGTTTAGTGACCATAGACACTTTTTTTAAAAAAAATGATTTGTCCCTCAGTTTCATCATTTTTAAAACGAGGATAACAGTACTCAGCTCTTAGGGTGATTTTGAGGATTAGAGTTACTGTTTATGAAGGAAGCAATTAGTACAGTATCTAGCTTGGAATAGGTGCTATAGGTGTTTGAAATTTTAAGAATTTCGAATATTGGTTAAACTGAAGATTCTTATGGTTGTGATACTTTAAAAACATAAAACAAATTTTCATTTAGTAGCCTCATGTTATATGTGTCTTTATACTGTAATAGTTGGGGCATTTGAATATAAAACTGTTTTTCTTAAATATTTCTCATCTTTAGCTTTTCATATGCTTGGATTTTTATTCCAACATGAGTGAGGTTTTGTTATATTACTTTGAAAAATTCTAACCAATTTATCAGGAAAAGCATTATGCTTAATATGAAAAAATGGGTAGGCTCAGAATGTGGACAATTACCTTGATATGCTTTTTTATTGTGATAAAATATGTATCACATAAAATACACCATTTTAACCATTTTTAAGTCTATAGTTCTGTGGCATTAAGTACATTCCTTGTTTTGCTTTTAAAGGCATTCTAAAGATAATGGTTTGCTATTTTGACTGCATCATATTAAAAACGTGCAAATAAATTGTGTTCATGTGTTTTCTCACCAAATGGTACAGAATGAAGTGGTTTTCTTTTACGTGGGACATGAAGTGATGATAATTGGATCCAAAACCAGAAGTGGAAGATACATTTTAGAAGGCTAACTAAAAATAAGTAGGCAAACTCTGAGAATCACAGTAGAGGTAATGATAGGGTATTACAGAAATGGGAGTAATAATTACTCTCATTTTCAGATACCTGCCATGATTAGTATAGAGATAGTATACACTGCTTTGGTGGTATTTCTACAGTTGGTGACGAGAAACTGATTAATCTTTCATATTTGATACCTTCTTATTTTTTTTCCTCGTTAAAGAAGGGATAATTTGTACTTTGAGAGTGGCTTTTTAGTGATCCATTCATTGTATTTGATTATCAAAGGAAGACAATTATCAAAAGCAAAAATTCTCAGCCATTTGAAAATTATATTAGATATCCTTTATTCATTACTTTCATTTTGTGAAGTGTTACATTCAAACAAAAATGTATTTTTATGAAATAGCTTAGCTAACTCTAAAAGCATTTCCTGCTCTTTTCGGATAATAGTTTTATAAAAATTTTTGTTTGTACCTGCTGCTGAAATGGTAAATTAAAAAAAAATTACATGCAAAACTGTACATAGTATTTGGCAGTGACACATGGGCTTGAGGCCAGAAGACTTCAATTTGCCTGTGTCACTTAGTAGTAGGAGATGCCATCTATTTGGCATATATGTCCAGCTGCAGTGGAAGTGTTCTATATCTGCGCTGTCCATTGTAGTGGTCACCAGCCACATGTGGCTACTACACTTCAAATGTGGCCAATGACTGAGGAACTGAACTTCAATATATATTTAATTTTAATTTTTTTATGTATATTTATTTCAGAATATCAAGGGGGTACAAATGTTGTTGGTTACATGGATAGCTTCTGTAATGCTTGAGTCAGGGCTATAGATGTGCCCATCACCCATTAGGTAGGTTTTTGCCAGCCCCCTTGATTTCCACTGATTTTTACTTCCCTCTGTAATTATATTTAAATAGTCATGTGCCTGGTGGCTACTGTGTTGACAGTGCAGTCAAACTAAATGCCATCATATAGACAATATTTTCAGGAATATAATAGCTTATTTTGAAAAGCTCACTTGGGGCTGGGCATGGTGTCAGCCCTCTGGGAGGCCGAGGTGGGAGGATGGCTTGAGGCCAGGAGTTTGAGCCCAGCCTGGGCAATGGTGAGAGCCCTTCTCTACAAAATGTAAAAAAATTAGCCAGGCGTGGTGGCCTATGCTTGTAGTCCTAGCTACTTGGGAGGCTGAGGCAGGAGGATCACTTGAGCCCAGGAGTTTGGGATTGCAGTGAACTATGATGATGCCACTGTACTCTAGCCTGGGCAATAGGGTGAGACCCTGTCTCAGAAATAAAATAGAATATAAAATACAGAAAGCTCAGTTGAACTGATCATGTGTTAATTTAAAAATTTATGGCATTTTATCTTTCAGTGCTGCAAAGGCATTTTAATTATTCGTAGTTGCTTTGTGATACTGTAAAACAAAATCTGGTTGGTTGAGCTTCTAATGTGGGGAGTCTAGACCAAAAAAATGGGGGATATTCCTACATCTCCTTTAGCAGTTTGACCACCTGGTCAATAGAATTTGGTATTTCTGAACGTGACTGTATGCAACTTGTGCAGCTTGACAGACCAATAGCTTAATTTCTGCTTAAATATGTATTATTTTCAGAAGTCTGGCTTTATTTGCACATGCTTTCCAAACTGAAATTGTGGTTTGAAACTAAAAAATCTTGCAAGTTACAGATTTGGAATATTATATTTATATGATTATATCATGTTCTGAAAAAATTCCTTTTTGTTGAGTAATAATGTATGTAGCAAGTTAGCTTAGATCAGGTTTTATTCCAGAGTAAAGTTTAGATTAGGTCCCTAAAGATAGATTCCTATCTTTAGAGAATCGTAATTCTCAAAGGCTGTTAAACAAATCATCTATTTTTAAAAATGTGCAAAATATCTCACATTTCAAGTCTTGTAGTTAGTTTTGTTGCCTTGTGACTTTAGCTATATTAATTAAAAGCTGAAAGACATTTGAAAATTTCTGTATTTCTACCTGTTTCAGAGAAACCAGATTTAGACTTTGTAAAGAAACTTAAGCATACACCTGCTTAAATTTAAAAAATTAACTTATAGAGAATTTATCTGGAAGGGACACAGAGAGGGTCATTTATTAATATACTGCTTCTAGGAAGCATTATTTTCCCTCCCTTTTCATAGCCCCCTCTCCCTTGCAGACAGCAAAAACAATAAAACAAAACTTTCTTTTCTGGAGCTTTTAAGGAATACTGTAGACCTCTGTCTCTTTTTGGTAATCTACCATAGTGTGTGGCACTCCTTAAAAAGTCTTTCTAGATCTGGCGTGGTGGCTCACAGCTGTAACCCTAGCATTCTGGGAGGCTGAGGCAGAAGGATCGTTTGAGGTCAGGAGTTTGAGACCAGCCTCAGCAAGAGCAAGACCCTATCTCTACTAACAATAGAAAGAAATTAGCTGGACTACTAAAAATAAGAATAATTAGCTGGGCATGGTGGCACATGCCTGTAGTCCCAGCTACTGAGGAGGCTGAGGCAGGAGGATTGCTTGAGCCCAGGAGTTTGAGGTTACTGTGAGCTAGGCTGACACCACTGCACTGTAGCCAGGGCAACAGAGTGAGACTCTGTCTCAAAAAAAAAAAAGTCTTTCTAAAGCTAATTTAACACTGAGCATTCATGAAGCTGGTGTTCTTCAGCCTCTTTTTAGCTCAGG